GCAAAATGGAGGGTGCCGAAATGGCTGTCTTTGGTCCTGTCCAGCTCTCCCATCTTAATTACGTTTCACAATCATCACGAGTGATATCTTCTTGCCCTGTTAATAAAAGATTACAGCACAGTGTATTTGGCAAAATCCATACACATCAGTATTTATTTTATCCATCTGAAACTCATTTAGCCATGTGATGCAGTGCGGAGATAAGGGCAGGGCAACCTTCTCTTCCCCTCGTTTACGGAAGCGGCAAAAACTTGGCGGGATGTAATTATTAACTAAAAATCATATTGTAGCAGGTTGGAATTTGTGACTATGCCACCCTAATTTTGTCAGAGGCTAAGGGAAGTTTCCCATAAACAATACGCTTAAATCACAGATGGAAAAATACATAACTTTTATTAAATAATCAAATTCACATATTATGGGCCTATTCAATAGGCATTAACGCATACGATACACCAAGTTACACTCCAACATTGCCAACGAGTGAATATATTGCCCAGAGTTTGTTCACATAAAGACATCGGAGTACACCAAAGCACAACCTTAAAATACATATTACCCAGCACAGATCACACTACTGGATTACACAGCAACAGGAATATTCATTTGCAATCTAGAACCCGGACTGTATGGGCAAGCTGGTACACACTGCCTAACAAATAACCCAGTATTTTAATATAAAACAAAAAATAAACAAAACCAAGATTAAAAAACAGAACGCTAGGGAGTTATTTATACCTCAAGTATTGTTTACACTCATACCTTTCCGTTGTATTTGACTTGCATGATTGCTACCATTTGCACTGTATTGTTCACCATTTACATAACTACCTTAATATTATTACCATTTACACAATCGCCTCTTCTACTCTTTCCATTTGCACAACTGCCTCTTAAACTGCTATCATTTGCACAACTGACCATATATTTATTGTTACCATTTGCACTTTGTACTATCTGCACTTGCCGATTTGTCTCTGGCCTTGTCAGTTTGTCCTGTGTCTTGTTATCTGTCTTTTTGTATAGTATGTCTATAATTTTTATAATTGGACGGTACGCACACCAGTGAGCGAGAAACGGCATTTCGGTTCTCCTGTATGTCATGCACATATAATGTGAATTGACAATAAAATATCTTCGACTTCGACTTTGACATTTATCCCCG